TTTCTCTCTCTCTAACTCTCTCACTGATAACAATTATTAATAATGATAATGAAAATAATGATAGTAGAAATGATAACAATATGAAGAGGATAGACATGATAAGGATAACAGTAAGAACAATAATAAAGCGAATGTTAAAGAATAAGAGTGGTAATGACAATGGTAATGATAAGGATAGTGATAATGATAATGATACTGCTTATAATAATGATAACAACAGCGCAAGGTCATTCTGATGATCATAATCATAACGAATAATTTTGATAGTAATAATACCATTGCTGCTAATGATAATGAAAAAATATATATATATTAGAGACATATAAATAAGTTTACCACAAAAATTTGAGTAAAAATCACCCATTTTCTATGGTGTATATTAGTACCTACGAGGAGGCTACTACCACTCTAGATCGGTATATATAGCAGGTCTATATGCGGATACATATAGTCAATGCACACATATATAGTCAATATCTAATCATGCACCATTGAATTCGAATTCATTGAGGTCGTGGACATAGGCCGTCAGGAACAGAGACACTCCAGTCTGCTCCGTGTCGCTGTAGAGGGTGATGTTGGGAGAGCCGCCCCTCGACAGGGCTACCTGACGAAGGGACACGAAAAAAGTGAATATTGTTTTTTTTTTTTTTTTTTTTTTTTTTTGCTTTAGGTACAGATATAATTATAGGGTTCTAAGATTAAAATAAAAAAAAGAAAGAAAAGAAAAAAAGAATAATAATAAAAAGAAAGGGGAAAAAGAGGAAATAGACGTACACTTAAAGACCCAGAGACAGAGCCTGGAATGTTGAAAGAAATGGACCACGATACTCAAACACAAACAGGAAACCTAGAGAGGAAATTGACAGTTAAGAAAACAAAAATTGCCTGGAAAGAAAGGAAAAGTACTGTATATGTCATATATATTAATATCACAAATTGAAAAGATGAGTAGAAACCAAAGTCATTCTTTAGATATCAAATGGAAAACCGACCATGATAGACACAAGTACCAGGCGGACAGAAAGTATAACTCATGTAATACGAATTAGCTTAACCAGTGACAAGCAAATCAAATTCTACCAATCCAGTGAGACTTTTAAATGCGTAGAAGAAACCGATATTTCAAAAATCTACAATAGAAGACTCCTTAAGACTCCGAGGTAACAGGAAAGCAATAAGATCTGAGGTAAATAGTTTAATTTAAAAAATACCTCCCATAAATTCACTAAACTGGGAGAATAAAAAATTGCAAACAACCTGCATCAAACAAAAATATTGATTGGTCCTACGGTACTACATATCCAGTAGAAACCGATCCAGATCTAATAGAAATAAAATACAAAATAAGACCTTAGTCAGGATATAACAATAGAATACTTAAAGTGATCGTAGCAAATAGAATGAAGAGAAACAAAATGCACAATAACGGTAACTACAAAACGCCATTAGATAATTAAACCTCATAATACTTACGACTGCGAAGATAACACAGAATCTTAGCATGTTGCTGCCTCCTTTCTCCCGAGCTGTGGGCATCTGCGTTTACTATACCTAAAGCATGAAAATGTCTGTCACTCAGCTGTTGGTTCTCAAGCAGTTGGTTCTCATCTTCCACGTCAGCCATATGGGAAATGTATATATATATATATATATATATATATATATATATATATATATATATATATATATATATATATATATATATATATATGTTATGTGTGTGTGTGTTATTTATTTGTTTATTTATATATATACACTTTTAAATAAGTGCAACCACACACACGCACACATATGTATAAATAGATATGTATCCATATAATGAATTAATCTATATATATACATATATATATATATATATATATATATATATATATATATATATATATATATATATATATATATATATATATATATATATATATATATACATATATGAATATACACATGTACATATGTATATATAAACATATATTATATATCTGTTATATATATATATATATATATAAATGTGTGTGTGTGTATTTGTGTGTGTATGATGGGCACTTTTTAAAGATTTCCCAAGACTCACTTATTTCACATGCATAAAGATACACATTTCTATAGGTCAAGTGTTGATTTCCAGTTCTTAACTCATACCATTTCCCGCTACAGTAGTAAAGTCTGCAGTCCACGGGTTGTGTTTGAGGCCATGCAGTTACTTCAGAAGTCAGTGCTTCATCATCTTGAAAATGTTACTCCTTTAGAAATGACATAATGTACCGAAAGACGTAAAAGTCAGTTGGGACAAGGTCAGTAGGATGAGAAGGGATGTTACAGGACCGCCATCGAGCAGAGAAACGTGAGAGCTGTGAACTGGGGTGTTGTCTTGTAGGAGGCGGACACTTTGGGTCTACATTCCGTGCCTCTTGGTAGTGATATCCTTCCACAATTTCTGTATCAGAGAGGCAAAGTAACTCCTGTAACTGTAGTACCTTTTGCCGGGAAACCATCATTACTACTTCATGCTGGTCTCAAAAGACTGTGAGCATGACCTTGCCTGCTGAGGGTGGTCATGTGCCTGTTTGGGGTTGGCGAGTCAAGTGCTTCCATCGTTTTGAGTGGGCCTTAGTGTCTGGTTCTTAGTAATGATGCTTCTGGAAAGGTGTGAGTAGCCTGGAAACCCATCAAGCAGATAGCTGTTGCATATGCACATGGCCATGAATAATTTTATCTATAGACCAAAAGGCTCCTATCCCAGACTAGGTTCGCCCTGGGATAGGAGCCGTTTCCACAGATCTCCGACCACACCCGAACTTGCGATGCCCATGTTTAACAGCGCCATATGAGTGGGTATCCTCTCCATAACTTGCTTTCATCTCATCAGAAGTCTCTTGTGATGTACGGCCATTCAAGTATAAAAACTTGATCACAGCTCGATAATCGACTGGTTCCATTTTCACAACTTACAGCACCTTGATCGCTATTACAGAAAATGTGATGAGTTAAGTATTGAAAATCTACACATGACCTGTGTGTGTGTGTGTGTGTGTGTGTGTTGTGTGTGTGTGTGTGTGTGTGTGTGTGTGTGTGTGTTGTGCGCGTGTGTTTGGCTGTGTGCGTGTATACACATACTTTTACATATTTGCATAAATTTAGATGTGTGTGTGAATACATACCGATCGTTATTACAGATAGCAGTTGCATGACACGGCCTGACAGGACCAGTCGCTCACATCTGGTTCCCGCGCCTTACATGGTCACGCGCAAGCATTATCTCAAGAATGAATGAGATAATACAACATAAACTTTATATTTAGTAGTATGATTTGTTTTTCACGTACTTAAAATAAATAATAAACGTCTTTTTTTTTTTTTTTTTTTTTAATCGCCCAAGAGAAATCTCTGGAGAATCTCAATAGAAAGATGTGTACATGCATATCACGAAATGCGAGTCTGCCACCTGGAATTGTTCCTGAAATTGTAATTGCAAAACAAGAATTGTCGGTCCTAGAGTTGCTACAGTCAGTAATCGAAACTATAACAAAATAAGATATATGTAATGTGTGTGCAATTTGTTTATCTATATTATATATATATATATATATATATATATATATATATATATATATATATATAAATATAAATGAATATATATATATATATATATATATATATATATATATATATATATATATATATATATATATATATTATATATATATATATATATATATATATATATATATATATATATATATATATATATATATATATATATATATATATATATATATATATATAATATATATATATATATATATAATGTGTGTGTGTCTGTACATGAATGTATACGTAATCATAACAGGAAACCCTAATTAAAGCGAAAGTAAGAAAAGAATGAAAGAGAAACATGAAATCAAAATAAAAACATTTTACGAATACACGAATAAGAATACTCCCTTTAGATTGCCAAGGCTATATAACACCCAAAACCGGTGTTAGGGATTTTTTTTTTTTTTTTTTTTTTTTTTTTTTACCTTTCCAAAGAAATCAGTGATTACCCTTTGTATTGTATTCGTTATGTTATGTGTAAGGCAAACTGCGATAAAATTACATACAAAAATGAATATGATTAATTTTGCCTTAAAAAAGATAAATAAAATAAAATAATAAGAAATAAAATAATAATAAAAAAAACAAATCTTAATAAGATGGAATTATGTTTTGAGGATCCATTAGTAAACGACATTTACAAATTAGATTTTTTATTAACTAATCTACCAATGTCCACTTTTTAACAGAAATCGATGGTAAATACAAATACATTTTATACGATTTTTCTTCTTTTTTGGCTGGGAATGTGAGGTTATGTCCTTCAAGAAATCATAAACCGATAAAAGAAGATAAACTAAATCCAATTTACTTTCTTGAAGTTGAAGATCACTTCCACAACCCCCATTACCATTCATGACTTCCTAATCTTTTACCAAAATTTCCTCCTGTCCCCTTATTTGATGTCGAAGAGCGCCATGGGTCCGTTCAGGGGCTTCTTCAAGAACCTCGGGGATGCCATGTATTTCTTGATGGCCGGAAGCTCCTCGAAGTGCTTGTGGAAGTCCGAGAGGTTCTTGAAGGAGGCAAGGCAGGAGGCGTCCAGCTCGAGGTGGATGTCAAGGAGTTCGTACATCAGGAAGTCGACGAAAGTGAGCTGTTTGGAAGTAGCAAAATATAGTGGGGTTGTTGAGGTCTAGGGCTGTTTGGAAGGAGCAAAATATAGTGGGGTTGTTGAGGTCTAGGGCTGTTTGGAAGTAGTAAAATAAAGTGGGGTTGTGAGGTCTAGTTTCTGAGGAGAGAAGTAGCAAAATAAGTGGGGTTTGTTGAGGTCTAGGCTGTTTGGAATAGCAAAATAAAGTGGGGTTGTTGAGGTCTGCTTTTGGAAGTAGCAAAATAAAGTGGGGTTGTTGAGGTCTAGGGCTGTTTGGAAGTAGCAAAATAAAAGGTCTAAAGTAGCAAATGGG